CCGCTGTGTGTTTGATATGGGGGTGAGTCAGCAGACATTTTATGTTTGCATATTCATTGCTCAACCTGGAGCAATGAGAACTATGTCTCTTCTGCACCATCTCGAAGTAAACAGTGGCTCATAAATTTATAAAATGTGTTATAAATCATGTTTAACGTAGGAGGAGCTTGGCTTCGTCATGAATGTTCTGGACATTGGAGGAGGCTTTGATGGAACAGAAGCTCAGTTAGAAAAGGTAATAAGTACTTCATTATGAAAAATACCTGATAATACCAGTTTAAGTTAGAGCTGCCCTTCTGAATTTTTGTCCTTTAGGGGACATAAAGCCCTTTGGAGCAAAACAGAGCTCCCTGAAGTCTGAGCTTACGTGTGGAACCTCTTTAGTCAGCATTGGACAAACAGATACCATGCATAATATTTTGTTTCCTCTTGCAGGTGAACAGGGCGTTGAAACCCATGCTGGACGTGTACTTTCCTCCGTCGACGGGCGTCTCAGTTATTGCTGAACCTGGAGCGTATCACGTCTCTTCTGCTTTCTCACTGGCTGTGAGCATCATCTCAAAGAAAACGGCAGCTAGGGACGCCAATCAGCACCCACACGGTGAGCACCAATCAAACTGCTTTTCTGCTCTGCTGTTATATTTTATCTCCTCTTTTGTGATGATTATTTATTTATTTATTTACTGTTTTAACTTTACCGTTTTAATATTAGCGAACGTCCATGGTTTGACATTTTGAAACGTATCTGTACACACACCGATCAGGCATAACATTCTGACCACCTCCTTGTTTCTACACTCATTGTCCATTTTATCAGCTCCACTTACTATATAGGTGCACTTTGTAGTTCTACAGTTACAGACTGTAGTCCATCTGTTTCTCTGATACTTTGTTAGCCCCCTTTTACCCTGTTCTTCAGTGGTCAGGACCCCCATGGACCCTCACAGAGCAGGTACTATTTGGGTGGTGGATCATTCTCAGCACTGCATGTGGTGGTGGTGTGTTAGTGTGTGATGCGCTGGTCCGAGTGGATCAGACACAGCAGTGCTGCTGGAGATTTTAAACACTGTGTCCACTCACTGTCCACTCTATTAGACACTCCTACCTTGTCAGTCCACCTTGCAGATGTAAAGTCAGAGACGATAGCTCATCTGCTGCTGCACAGTTTGTGTTGGTCATCCTCTAGCCCTTCATCAGTGGTCACAGGACGCTGCCCACAAGACGCTGTTGGCTGGATGTTTTTGGTTGGTGGACTATTCTCAGTCCAGCAGTGACACAGAGGTGTTTAAAAACTCCAGCAGCACTGCTGTGTCTGATCCACTCGCACCAGCGCAACACACACTAACACACCACCACCACGTCAGTGTTACTGCAGTGCTGAGAATGATCCACCACCCAAATAATACCTGCTCTGTGAGGGTCCATAGGGGTCCTGACCACTGAAGAACAGGGTAAAAGGGGGCTAACAAAGTATCAGAGAAACAGATGGACTACAGTCTGTAACTGTAGAACTACAAAGTGCACCTATATAGTAAGTGGAGCTGATAAAATGGACAATGAGCGTAGAAACAAGGAGGTGGTCATCATGTTATGCCTGATCGGTGTATCTGTATGTATGTGTGTTATGTATTTCTGTACATTCTTTGTACATTGTCCTTGGCTACCTTGAAAAGCACTTAAAATGATCTTATTATTTGCCTTATTATTATTATTTCTAATCCAACAGTCCTGAACTGTTTCAGTCTGAGATAAATGGAAACATGACCATCTTTGTGTGTGTGTGTTTTGTGGTCCTCAGACATGCTTTCTGGAAATGATGAGCCGGAGTTTCTGTACTATATGAATGATGGTGTATTTGGCTCATTTGCCTATAAACTGTTGGAGGAACCTGTTCCTGCTCCATCTCTGCACAAGGTATCTTCTGTTTGGATGGTTTAACACGTTTGAAACCAAAGAATAATGCTTGAAAATGTCATGCATCATCATTAGATCATTAGTGTTCCATGGCACTGATTTTATGGCGAAATCAATAATTAAACCCTATATATCTTTTGGTGAATCAACGAAATCTCAGACATTTCATAATGTTTATCCTTACTAACACATGTAATAATATTAATAATAATAATAATAATAATACATTTTACTTATATAGCACACATTTCATTACAAGGTCAGCTCAAAGTGGTTTACAGAAAAATAAACAAAACAAAAATCATAAAAACATAAGAGTCTTAAGATTCTACAAAAAAAGGATCCAGAATTTTTTAAGACAACACAAAATCCATGAAACCCATCTGAAACTGAAATTCTTAGGATTCTTCTTAAAAGATCCAGAGTTTCTAAAACAAAGCAGAAATTAATTCATGAAAACAGGTCTAAAAAGAAAAGTCTTAAGACTCTTCTTAAGAAAAGATCCAGAACTACATAAATAAAACGTGTCTAAAAAGAAAAGACTTAAGATGCTTGTTAAAAAGAGATAAAGATCCAGAATTGGTGATGATGGTCTCTGTTGCGGTGTTCCTCTAGGAGAAATCCTCGGACGAGCCACTTTTCTCTAGCAGTCTGTGGGGGCCCTCTAGTGACGGCCTGGATCAGGTGGTGGAGTCCTGCCTGCTCCCCGAGCTCAGCGTGGGGGACTGGCTGGTGTTCAGCCGCGCTGGAGCGAACAGCCTCGGAGTGATGGGTGCTCACGCAGACGAACACAAACCGCCCGTTCACTACGTCATCTCTGCAGGAGACTGGTACGGACGCTGAGTGGGAGAGAGGAAGTCGCTCGGTTGGATTGTAATGCTTAAGGGGATAGTTCAGCTGTTGATAGCTGATCAAAAATCAAATTTACCCAATTCTCCATCTACCCCAGATAAAACTGCTGTGGGCTGAAAAGATGGATGGATATAAATGAGTTGCTTGTTGTGACGTCACAGAAAACAGTGAACTCAGAACAGGCAGATTAGGCTACATTTACACAGCAGGTAAAAGTGGCCCAAATCCGATCTTTTTCTTCATATGTGACTCAGATGTGTGTTTGTGTGTCAGTGTGAACAGATAAACACACTGAATCTGACAATTTCAATTCAGATTTGAGACGCTTTCATATGTGGTACTGAAATCCGATCCGTATCCGATCTGCGGCACTGCGACTCAGTCTGAACAGCCAGATCGGAATTCATGACTTTTACGTCAATCCAACTCCACATTCGTCATAATTTCACACTGCTGAGACTCATAAACATTTAGGTCGATGTTTCTTTACAAAAAATTATTAGAGACGAATCCAAAACCCTCCGTTTTCGAAGAGATTTCTAAAGAAATGTCCGAACGCGGCCGCAGGAGAACGAGGCTGCAGCGTCAATGAACAGTTAAAAGTCTGAAAGCAGAGTTTAAAGAATCCGAGGACGCGAACCAAAGAAGTGACCGCGCCCTTTTTACGGCTCGAACACATTCTGGGTGATGAGCCCAGCTGTCACTCAGTGAAGCTTCATGATGGCTCCTGTGATGCTGGTGAAGATGAAGCTGGTCCTCCGGGAGCGACTGGCGTTCGTTGGCGGTTGTGATTGTTCACCTCTGGATGAGCCGTGAAGCAGCGTGACGCTCTGTTCTTTTGTGCATGTGGCTCAGTTTAGGAGCTGATCTGTTCAGACTGATGTCGCATACAGATCACATTTAAAAGATAATCTGAACAGACAAACAAGAAAATTCGGATTTGGTGAGAAAATCAGATTTGACTTTTACCTGCTGTGTGATTGTAGCCTTAGCTCCACTGGGGATCGAACCTTAATAAATTTATAATAAACGTGATGTTAATTGTCTTTTCTTTTTTCTTTCTTTTTTTTTGCAGGTACGAGATTCAGAATTGTGGCATCACTCTGGACACCACCATGAAGAATTTCTCTCTGGTCCAACAACCCAGCCTGACAAAAACCTCCATTTCCACTCCAGCTTAGCACGAGGCCGTCCCGGGGCTTCAGCAGCCTCTGCGGTGTGACTAAAGAAAGTCTTGCAGAATCCTCTGGCTCTTTCGAGCTCGGCTGGGACCGCGCAAAGTGGAAGGGAGGTTTCGAGCCAGTGTTACTGGATCAAAAACAAACTCATTTACTGTCATAAATAAGTTATAACACGAAACAGTAACTTAAATAAGACGGGATCTGTGTCTTTTTTGGGGGGGAGTCATTTATTGCTGTTTACAAACCTACTAGAGTCTATTTAATTCAGTTTTAAAAACACAGTATATACATACTTGCATATATGTGATATTTCATGTCGTCAATTGCAAGTCAGGTTTGCATCTGACCTGATAGTTATTTATTGAATATGAAGCCTAATGACCGTATCAGTTGTCATGCCTTTTAAGACCCATGTATTTGTGGTATTATTGTTTTGAGCATCGAAGCTACTAGGTGGCTGTTGTGTGTCTAACCATTAAGTCAGACGTTGTTTTCCTTGTGGCCAGCAGATGGTGCTGCAGCTTTGAGAAAAGCCTCTGTGTCTCTCGATAAATATTGTTCAGACAAATTGAACACAGATCGTATTAGTAAACTGCAATACTGGAATCGCTTTGGCATGAAGTCATAGCACATTATTGTTTCCTCAGATTTGTCCTGCTCTTCTTCTGATAGGTTGTAATGATGCCGTTTGAAATATGGTGAAGAAAGTGACTGAAACGTTTTAGGGAAAGTGTTGTTGGTTTGAGGCTGCTCTGTTAAGTGAGACGTGTCATTTGAAACCCCTATAAAAGAAGGATCCATGACGTGACCTGTTAGACCGACCCGAACCTTCTGGAGCTGTGCTGCCTAAAGAAGTGTCATTTTTAAACGAGATCCTTTGTGCAGAAAGAAGCAGACTGAATATGTAAAATGTTGGCCAGTGGCCTGTTTGGCAATACGCTGTCAGTAAACCAGTGTGCTCATGAATTTGTGTCGGTTTCCTTCTTACATAATGTGCGGCTGTTGGCAGCGTTGGGTGTCTTATTTATGCTTTTAGACCAGAAGTCACGCTGCTGAAGTGACTCAGTTTATTTTCGTATACATGCAAGTTTACACGTGTTCATTTAACACTTGCTCACTGAACAAGACGAGCCCGGTGAGAAATGGCACTATGGTACAATTTACTGATCACAACCACAGTATTACACAATTTTAAACATTCAGTATTTTTTCAAATAACTATTAAAGGCTGTAAACAAACACTCGGCAATAACAAAAATAAAGCAGCTCAGATTGTACAAAATAGAAAAATAGAATTTGTGAATTTTGGTCAGGCAGCCATGAGGAATAAAGTGTCTTCAGTGTTTAAATACTTCTTAAAACCCAATTGTAAAAGACTGGCTTCAACTTAAGTGAACTGAACTAAACTGCATGTTGGATTTCAAACAATCCACATTTCACATGTGCTGTTGCATAAGAACAGTGCGAACTGTCAGCTGTTTACTCCCATTTTACCTTTTTCTTTCAGACCAACCGCAATAGCAGACGTTTTTTCACCATGATCTCCAGGCTGCCCTTGGTGTGAATCACTGTCCTCATATCACAGGTGGATGAAGCAAATGGCACTTAGTAGTTAGTGGTTGATAGAATGTTTGTAGCATGAGAAAAAGTGCTTCTAGTTGAAGTAGTGAGAGAAGCAAACCAAATTCCCATACAATACAACTCAATATATTACATTATATTACGTTCTCAGTGTTTAAATCTGCCTCTTTTCCCATATAAACATTCTTAAGCATTACTGAATTCACCAAGCAGGACCTACAGGGCATGATATATTTACTAACATATATTTACCAAACATTTTAGTGCAACGTCTCTTAGTCTTAAGGGAGAATTCCACCTTTTTTTAAAAAGTTTCTGATTAATTAAACAGTCAAACGAAGTCATTCAGAGTTGTTTATGTGAAATGCCCCAGTTAGAGTTGTTCACAGTGGTGGTGATGGGAACCAGATGAAGTTAACAGCTCTAAAAGCTCCGTCACAGACAGTTATTACACGGAATGGTTTTGAATATGCTGCCTCATGTCTGAGACACCGTTTTAGCCTAAAACAGATTTTTTATGCAGGGCGTTCCTGCCCACAAACAGAACTTGTTTTTCTGATTGATCACCAACAAACTCCGAAGACGTGTCGGTTCACTTGCCATTTTATAGAGCAAATAAAATGCTTATGTTTACATTATTGGAAATCGTGAGCCCGGGTTCCTATCACCACCACTGTAAAGAATTCTGAGCTGGTAAATGTTTCTACAGTGAACCATTTCACATCAAACTAATGGCTTTCTTTATATCTCAATGAGTAAACAATTCAGAATTTTTTAATATTTGGTGGAATTGCCCTTAAAATCCACATTATGTTTTTAATCACTTTCTAACAGTCTGTGCAGCTGACTGCACCCTACTGTCAGCTTAAGCAAGGGGGCAAAATCTGCAGATCCCCAACATTAAGGGCTGATCTGGTCTGGAACACATAAAGTGAAGGTGCTGAGAGTTCCGCAGCACCCCCTAATGTCAGGGTTGTGTAACTGCAACTTATTTATATATGTTTTCTTCTGCAGATCACCTTTGTAGTGACTTTTACAGTCAAGCCCGTGAAAAAAGGCACTTAGCAGCATGTAGTTTGCACATTAATTTGCCTACACAAATTGCATTTCAGAAAAATTATCCCAAACTAGTCAGTTAAATGGTAAAAAATGATTTGGCATAGCGTTTGATCTGATGTCCCTGTGTACGTCACGTATGTGCAGTTTAAAATTTCAGCGCTCGGAATTGATCTTCCATGCTTTAAAGTTCTGTGTGAACCTTCTCGGTTCTGAGTCCGGCCCTCAGCTCCCTGGTTTGGGGCTGAGGGGGAGGAGAATGCGCCCCCCGTTGGTGATGCTGTGGAGCCGGCTGATTTCCGTCTGCCAGGCCGGAGGCCTCCTGGTCATTAGATGGCGGCGGGCGTGTTTTGACAAGTGGTCGCTGCGCATGAAGCGGCTGTGGCACACGGGACAGGAGAAGCGTTTCTCGCCTGTGTGAGAGCGTCTGTGGCGGGACAGTTCGTCTGAGCGAGAAAAACGCCTCCCGCAGCCGTCCCACTGGCACGTAAACGGCTTCTCGCCTGTGTGGGTGGGTTAAAGGAATAATAAGGTGAAAAATCTAATAACCACAATTTGCTCCTTACTCTAAGTGCAGCTGATCTACCAAGACATGCATGGTGTCTTCTTTAGCACTGGGGCTACGATGCAAATGTGGCTAACAAGTAATTGAAGTTCATTAACGTTTTGCAAACTACACGCTTAAACTATTAGACTTGCTTATGTGGTTTCTGACCTTATAGGATATACTGTAATCTTTAAACATGGATAAAAGTACCTTCAGAGAAAGCCTGCTGTGAAATAAACCTGCCTGTAATTATAATCTGGTAAATTAGGTAAGTTATAATCATCAATCTTGTTGTGTGTAAACTCTGTATGTAAACTGTAAATATTGTAGTAATTTTCTTTTTCCATTGTTAATTTTATTCAGAAACAAAAGGGTTAAATTCAATGGAAAACTGTCCAATCGGGATTGTTTTCTCTGTGGTGTGCGTCACTGAATACGAGTAGTAATCAAACCAGGTTTCAAGTAGTTGTTACAGATGAAAAAACTATGCCAGGACTCTTTACTGTAATACCACAATAAACAAGGTAACACATACAATTTACAAGCCTCTAATGTCCACGTTTACTCTGGAACGGCTGTCATTTGCTTAGCACCAACATACCTCTTGACCCCCGTAGGGCAGGGGTGCTCAATCCTGGTCCAGGAGATCTACCACCCTGTAGAGATTAGCTCCAACCCTAATCGAATGCACCTCATCCAGGTAATTAAAGCTTTCAGGAGCATCTGGCAATTAGAGCCAGGTGTGCTGGATCTGAACTCCCAGGGTGGTAGATGTCCAGGACCAGGATTGAGCACTCCAGCCACAGGCGCACTAGCAGAAATAAGCATTATGATAGAGGTGCTTTTTGCCGTTTATGGGTGGAAATGAAGGCCTAGCTCTAACAGTCATGGTCAGAAAGCATGTAAGCAAGTCTAGCAGAGATTACATGTTTTGAAGCGGGTATGTAATCATTTAGGCAGGCAGTTAGCACCATGCTAATTATTTTCTGCACAGCATATTTAATGTGGCATTAAACGAATGAGAAACCAGGCTTCTCTCACCTGTGTGTGTCCTCAGGTGCGCTTTGAGATGCGAGCTTTTGAAGTAGGTCTTTCCGCAGTTGGGGTGGGTGCAGACGTGACAGCGAACTCGTGGCGGCTCAGGCTGGGTCGCAGTCTTTGGCACGGCAGGCAAGTGGCCTGGTGCAGGGGCAATGGAGGTGAACTTTGACCCAGTGGCGGTTACCACCACATGCTGCGTGAGTGGAGCTGGCTGGGGCACCAGCACCATGATGGGGCCGGAGGGAGTCTGAGTGCCCACTACAGGACCGCACACTAAAACTGCTGATCCTGGACAGACGTTCGGTGGATTAGCTGTGGGCGCAGGTGGGGCGCTGACCGTCGAGTTCGCAGAGGGCGTGAGTGGAAGGATCTGGAATAGCGCTACTGAAGACATGCTAGCTGTAGGAACACCAGGGGTGGCTAGAGTTACAGTGGGCGGAGCTACTGGGGGAGTTGGCAGGGTGGGGGTACCCGAGCCTGGAGGATCATGATTCACCCCCGTGTCTGTGCCAGGCTGGACACTCAAGCGGCTCTGGGTGGGGCTGAGAGGGCTTGGCGCGGGTTTAAGGGTGCAGGCCTGTTCGTCTTTTTCTCCAGCGGGACATGGCAGCGGGTCAGAAGTGTGACGGATCACACTGATGGTCCTACCCTGTTGCTGTGGGGAGCAGAGTGAAGCGCTGTTATCCAAACCCTCCAGTGTGTCACTCTGAACCAGTTCAGTAGCTGGAGGGCTATAGGGTGGGGTCATGCACTGAAGTGCCTATTGGAGAGGGAAGGGGTCAGAGATAACGATTACAAAGTTAAATTGACTATTGTCACATGTTAAAGGCCAGTGATTCTTGATCTTGGTCCTGGGGGACCCTTGCCCTGCATACTGTGGTGGTTTCTGTGCTCTAGCACAGCTGATTTCAACTAAACAGCTAATTAAAGCAGCATTATGCATGTTTGGAGGGATTTGGAGCCCTCTCTGGTGGAAATGTGTAATTGCAAGCAAGTGGGAGAAGAATCCATACTTTTTTTGCATACTTATATCATAAACATGTAAACAGAGTCGTTCAGAGTGGTTTGGTGTGAAACGCTCTGTTCTAGAGAAACTTACAGAGTCAGAACTGTTCCTGATGACTGTAATAGGAACCAGACGTCCACCTCTAAAAGGTGAGACATTGTTTTATGATGGTTTTGAGAAGGTTTTGGCCTAAAATGTTCATTCAAATCCATTCACAGTGGACATACTAGTGTTTTACCATCATCAACATTACAAATAAAACTCAAAAGATATCTGTTGGTATTTTGGATAGTAAATAAAAGTGCAGCATTAAAACAGACAGTATTTAAAATAGTAAATCGACATTAAACAGTGAAGTAGATGGTAGTAAGACATTGCGACCCCTGGTTCCTACAGAAATCTGAATCGACAGTGAACCATTTCAGGTTCTGAATGACTGTTTAGAGATTGTAGAGATTTTTAGGGCTGTCCAAGGTCTCTTACTGGCATAGGGTGATACCAGGGCCACTTTCTTGTGCACAAAATAAATAAACAACCCAACCTGACCACTCTGGCTTTATAAGGCTCGCAGCAGCACAAGGACACCATGTTTTGGTTTATTTATTCCTCTACCGACTCAGCAAGGCTGTTGCTTTCATTTAAAAATAAAGTGATTGTGATAGTGTGGGGCAAACGCTGCAGGACCACGGCTGTGAACCACTATAAGTTTACAGCATGGAGAACAGCGGCACTCACCAAAGCAGACTCCTGGAAATCAGCTGGGCCTGCGCAGACGGACTCTTCCCAGGAGTCGGAGGACGGCGTAAGTGGGCGGAGCTCCTTATGCCAAAAACTTCTATCCTTCCATTTGCTCTTCATGGAAACGAGAGCTTCTACAGCCTGCAGGTCTCCTAAAGTCTCAGGTGGATCCCTCAAATGCTCTGGGCTTTGTTCCACAGCCTCACACGGCAGATCCTGTCAGAAAACATGACAACAGAAGTTACATAAGCATCATAGTGCAATAAATACAGCTGATTAGAAACAGTAGGAGGCTTATTAAGTGTTTTATGAAAGTGCGTCTGTTTATAAGATCGCATGAATGCACGCCTCCGAAGCAGACTAATGAACTAAGACTAAAAGTGATGCTTTGGAGAGAAATAATACTAATTGTTTTACGGCTAAGGCAAATGCTTTAAAACTGCTGCTTAAAAGAACTCAAGTTTAAGATTTAGGATTAGTTCTAGTTTTAGTTTTAAAAATAAGCAAAAATCTCCACTTAAAGTTATGCAAAACCTGTACAGAATTAAGTGTATTCTGATACTATCAACACTAAAAACACTACTAATAACAAAAACTTCACTCACTGGCTCTCAATCCACGCTGAACACTGAGCCTGACCCTTCACCTACTTTATACACAGCAGCCAAGCGACTTTTTTCCCCACCCGTATTCCGGCCAGACCCGCCCTTCCTGCGCCCTGATTGGTCCCCGAAGCGTTCTAAAACGGCTGAACTGCTTGAGGGACTTAACTACTGGCCAATCGGAAAACGGGCGGGAGAAATACCAACAGTTCTGCCAACTGGCAAGCTACTTCACCACATCCTTGGATTCGTGCCTAAACACGACTGCGAGTATCTTAGCGAGCATCAAACAACGTTTTTTTGAACAATAAGCCATATTTAGAGTCCCTGCCTGCCCAAGAGGCTCAAAACCGCCGCTCATTAAACACGGAAAAAAGCGTGAAAATGAACGGAGTGTGTCAGGTTAGCAAACGCTGACAGACTACTTACATCGTTTGGCGGGGATGAAACGCGATGCGCTTCGTTCATGTCGTCAAACCGGCAAAACTATCAGTCACCACATAATATTTACACGCTGAACGCTATGCGGCTGTTTCCCGCAGAAAAAAGCAAATGAGCACGTATAACTGTGCGTTTCTGAGGCTGGACAACGTCTGACTGGAGAGATGGAGCCGCTCTGTTGTGTTATCAGATTGATTCAGACATTTCAGAGCACGGGTGACCGTGGACCAATCACAAGTCAAGGTGTGAGGAGCCGCCGGCCAATCAGGAGAGAGGAGACGCGTGATCAGAGGCTGATGCGCTGCGTGAAACCTGCGTGATACACAGCGGTCCGGCCGTGTGAGCAGGCGAACGCGGGAATCCTGTGAATGAGCTCAGCTGCAGCGTTTCTCCCACACGCTGCATACCTCTGCCGAGTGCTGCAGGGATGTGGTGTGGGGTCATCGTGGTCGTGTCACTGTGTGGTTTTATTTTCTTTATTTGAAGCGAGGAATTTCGCTGTCCTTATGTTTTTATTGCTTGACATGAAAGGTGGATCTCCTTATGGACTGGGTTGGGATGTAATGAAATACAGGTATTGGGAATACATGTTCAGAATTCAGGAATTGTCTGTGTTCAGTCCAAGTTACATTTTAAACAGGTTAAAATGCAGCATACAGTCACGTTCCACAATTTTAGGAGAATACTATCAGAGCTGGTTTATGAGAAATCTGGCCTCTTCCTATTTCCCCCGTTATATCAACAACATGACTGCAAATCAGCAGAGGGCGCCCTCACTGAGAGCGAGCCCTCGCTGAATGGAGGTGTATAGAGCTAAACGGCTAAAAACGAAAAGTTAAAATAGTTTCTAATCACTCGCCCAGAACTTTCCTTTCATTTTAGATAGTAGAAGGATGGATTTCACTAAAAAAAGCAAGGAAAACTCACCTGTATGTTTCCTTTATTCTACAGCAAACGGGTTTTGGGCAGCAGGACGCTAACATTACTGCTACTGAGTGCTGATTGGTTGGCGAGCGGAGCATCTCATTCGCTGTTCGCGCTCACTGACATCATTAGGCGCCGTCTTAAACTCCTATAACTCGAGTTTAAAAGCTTTTAAAAATAGAACAGCAGTGTTAAAATGTTTGATGCTGTTCTGTGTTCAGGAAATGAATATTCTTTTATATTAAAACGTTTAAGCATTTATAAACTTTGATTTTGCTCAAATGCTCCATCTTAACCCATTCATTTTGGACTCTCTCAGGAGCGCCCTCTAGTGTTTGAGAAACCCGGAAGACATTACGGAGCGGTATTTCACCATCGAGTGGTCCTAGTATGTATGTTACTGAGCTCTGCTAAAGCCTGAGTAGACTGATAAATCAATGTGATCGGTTATTAATCTCAGTGTTACTGAGCTCTGCTAAAGCCTGAGTAGACTGATAAATCAATGTGATCAGTTATTAATCTGTGTTACTGAGCTCTGCTAAAGCCTGAGTACACTGATAAATCAATGTGATCAGTTATTAATCTGTGTTACTGAGCTCTGCTAAAGCCTGAGTAGACTGATAAATCAATGTGATGATCAGTTATTAATCTCAGTGTTACTGAGCTCTGCTAAAGCCTGAGTAGACTGATAAATCAATGTGATCAGTTATTAATCTCAGCGTTACTGAGCTCTGCTAAAGCCTGAGTAGACTGATAAATCAATGTGATGATCAGTTATTAATCTCAGTGGTACTGAGCTCTGCTAAAGCCTGAGTAGACTGATAAATCAATGTGATCAGTTATTAATCTCAGTGGTACTGAGCTCTGCTAAAGCCTGAGTAGACTGATAAATCAATGTGATGATCAGTTATTAATCTCAGTGGTACTGAGCTCTGCTAAAGCCTGAGTAGACTGATAAATCAATGTGATGATCAGTTATTAATCTCAGTGTTACTGAGCTCTGCTAAAGCCTGAGTAGACTGATAAATCAATGTGATGATCAGTTATTAATCTCAGTGTTACTGAGCTCTGCTAAAGCCTGAGTAGACTGATAAATCAATGTGATCGGTTATTAATCTCAGTATTACTGAGCTCTGCTAAAGCCTGAGTAGACTGATAAATCAATGTGATCAGTTATTAATCTCAGTGTTACTGAGCTCTGCTAAAGCCTGAGTAGATTGATAATCAATGTGATGATCAGTTATTAATCTCAGTGTTACTGAGCTCTGCTAAAGCCTGAGTAGACTGATAAATCAATGTGATGATCAGTTATTAATCTCAGTGTTACTGAGCTCTGCTAAAGCCTGAGTAGACTGATAAATCAATGTGATCGGTTATTAATCTCAGTGTTACTGAGCTCTGCTAAAGCCTGAGTAGACTGATAAATCAATGTGATGATCAGTTATTAATCTCAGTGTTACTGAGCTCTGCTAAAGCCTGAGTAGACTGATAAATCAATGTGATCGGTTATTAATCTCAGTGTTACTGAGCTCTGCTAAAGCCTGAGTAGACTGATAAATCAATGTGATGATCAGTTATTAATCTCAGTGTTACTGAGCTCTGCTAAAGCCTGAGTAGACTGATAAATCAATGTGATCGGTTATTAATTCAGTGTTACTGAGCTCTGCTAAAGCCTGAGTAGACTGATAAATCAATGTGATCAGTTATTAATCTCAGTGTTACTGAGCTCTGCTAAAGCCTGAGTAGACTGATAAATCAATGTGATGATCAGTTATTAATCTCAGTGTTACTGAGCTCTGCTAAAGCCTGAGTAGACTGATAAATCAATGTGATGATCAGTTATTAATCTCAGTGTTACTGAGCTCTGCTAAAGCCTGAGTAGACTGATAAATCAATGTGATGATCAGTTATTAATCTCAGTGTTACTGAGTTCTGTTTATGATGTCATCAATGATTAGTCAGTCACGTTTTAATAGGTTGCATTTGTAGTGCTGAAGACGAATCTGTCTGAGCAGTTTTGTGAATGGACAGACAGAATGACTGTAGGAGTCGAGACATTCCAGGGTTAATATAACGTGTCAATAATATGTGTCTGGTATGTAGTGGAAGTTCATTATTTATCTTTTTTTGTATTCCAGAGTTTTCTGGCACCAGAGCTTTAGTCCACCTGCTCTGCAGGATCATGTTTATCTGAAGTCAAGTCCCATCATTAGCTTGTAACTGTGCAGGTCAAGACGATGCATCAGAGCAGAAAGTCAGTGAAGTGGTGAAAGACTGGAGGAGGAAAATAGTGCGGTACGGGTTTGCTAAGACTGGTCCTGTCCAAAATATCCTATTTTAGGTCTAAAATAAGCCAAACTCAATCTCCATGAACTATGCTACTTGATTCAGAGTCAGGGCTGGATTTGAGGGCGAGATTCCATCTCCCTGGTCAAAAAGTGTAATTTATATAGATTATTGTGCCTTTAAGACATCTATTATTAATACTTTGATTCCATCCATATTTGAGAGTATAGATATCCAAAAGTACCTAGAGAGACTTTGGTGCACCCATTGTTGGCATTCAGGTGTGCACACACAGCTTTAATCTAAGTAGAAAAGCACTGACCAATAGAATAGAACACACTGGAGCAGCTGCGCATGAGCCTAAGGTCACCAAGCCCAAGCGTGGGCTAGAGGGGAATAAAGCCCCTCAGCATTGGAACAGCAGTGGAACTGTGTTCTCTGGAGTGATGGAGCTCCATCCAATACCTCTGGGATGAGTTGGAGTGATCCAGAACTGACCATCCAACATTAGTACCTGACCTCACTAATGCTCAATCAAATCCTCACAGCAATGTTCTAATGTCTAGGTCTAGTGTAAAGCCTTCCCAGAAGAGTAGAGGCTGAAACTGCAGCAAAGATGGACAATATTAATAGGCTTGTATTTCATATATATATATACATATATATATATATATATATATATATATGTGTGTGTGTGTGTGTGTGTGAATCAAACCTCTGCAGCAAATTATTTTAAAAATTATTATATTTAAAAATTAAATGTTAATGGACAGTTACTTAATTTAATATACTCATCAGGCCTTAATTGTCTTGTTAGAACTGGTTAGACAAGCCAAGAATTGACTAACAACTATTCCAGTGCATGACAAATACTCTGACTCTTCAAACCTTCTGCCAACACTTAACAACCAAAAACCATGGGCTCCATCAAGCAATTGGCTGAGGATCGAAAACTCATGTTAATTGTTGCGTGCAAAGCAGGGGAACACTATAAAAAGACACGTAAGCTCTTCCAGCTTGAAACAGCCACTGTCTGAAATGTTGTTAAGAAATGGCCATTAAGAGAAACTGTGGAAGTCAAAACAGAATCTGGAAGAGCAAGAAAACTCTCAGAACTGCTTGTGTGCTGCCCAGAAAGGCAAAGAAAAACCCCCACATGACAGCAAAGGACATACAGGAAGGTTTAGTTGACACAGGAGTGATGGTGCCCCATTGTACTGTGACGCTTTGCTTGCATAAATATGGTCTGCATAGATAAGCCATAGGTATTTTGGAAACAAGTGCTGTTGACTATTGAAGGAAAAATAGAATAAATCATTACTTAAACATGAATTTACATATACGATCGTCTTAAAGTCACATTTGTGCCTTTGAGTGTTTTATAAATTTGAAATGATGGAAATAATTTCTTAAGAGTTTACAAGATGTTGTAGATGTTCTTGCCAGTGATGATGTGCCAATGTAGCACATGATGGTAACACGACTAGGCAAGCAAAGCATCTATCCGTGTCCATGGTGACGGCATCTTCCTCTTTCCGCTGGAAAGAGGCAGGGGTGCCCAAAGTGTACCCTTGTATTCACCTTCTCCCTTAGGAGTGCCTTCCACAGCTGTGAGTGTAACTTAATATGCAGCCACACTCAGCAATGAAGCGTTTGTGGGTTTGTTAAAGGCTGAAGAAATTTGTTTTTACTACCTGGAAGAGATTTCCAGAGAAAT